ATAGAGGAATTTATGAGTATTGATGAATCTGCATATAGGTGGTTGTGTGAAAGATTAGTTGTGAATTGGTCTAGGTCCCATGTCAGTACATTCTCCAAATGTGATATGCTATTGAATTATATGTGAGAGCTTCAAATGCTTGTATTGTTGAGGCTAGGGTCAAGACTATCTTAACCATGCTTGAAAAAATTAGAGTATGGCGAATGGAAAGAATACATCAACAAAGATACTCCATTAAGAAGTACAAGGGTACTACCTATCCTAGAATTCAAAAGAGAATAGAGGACATCAAAGTTGAATCAGTATCTCTCATACCAACATGGAATGGGGGATGAAAAATTTGAAGTGGTTGCGACGAGTGGAGACCAAAACACCGTCAATATAGAAGAAAGAACTTGTAGCTGTAGAAAATGGGATTTAATAGGAATCCTATATAAACTTGTAGTGTCTGCCCTCAAATTTTTAGGTCAGTTAACAAAAGACTTTGTGGGTGATTGGTGCAAGGTTGAGACCTTCCTTAGGTGTTACAATCAACTAATAAACTCTATCAATGACAAAGAGGTGTGGGTAAAGACAGGTTACACCACTATATTTTTCCCTGATGTGAGCATAAGACCTGGCAGGCCTACAAAGGTTAGAAAGAAGGAGGTTGATGAACCTAGTACTGGTGTCAAGTTGAGGAGGAAGTACAAACCTATAATGTGTGGAATTTGTGGAAATTGTGGTAAAGTTGGCCACAACAAAAGGAGGTGCAAGTTCAAACAATCCAATGTTGTAGACACAATCACAATACAGACTGCAAACAATGTCCCAGTAACTTCTCTGAAATTCTGATCCCTTTGAAATTCACATATTCACTACTAACCTATCTTTTATCTTTTATCATTAGGTGGGCAACATGACAAATGAATCAGCAACAAACAACCCCAAATCTGCAACACCTAATGTAACAAAAGATAGACATAAATTGCCTTTAATACGTAAAATATAATTTTTAGTTGTGTACATGCCCAAAATATGCATGTTCAATGATTGAGCTAATGCTTGTTATTCATTAACATATTAGAGGAGGAACAATGGATCAACTCCACAATCTAATTGTACAACTGTATCAACACCATAAAATATGCCAAATTTGTCTATGAAGAGACCACCAGCATCTGCTTCAAAAAAGAGTGTATATACATATTCCAAAAAAGGTTGCTGTTCAGCTGCATTACAAGTATCTCATTAAATGGAGAATACTTCTAACAAAAGTCCCAAAAGTCCCCCTCATTGTGTCCTCGTTGCTGTGTTTTTCTTGAACTTGATAGTGGATGAGTTACACTCTTGTGTATGAGCTGGTGTAAACTTGGTATTCTGTGGGAGGATAGGCATGGGAGGAATAAACAAGTTCACTGGCGCCCTACCTGCTCGTCTTTAACCACAGTGTGATGCATTACTTGGTGCCTTCCAAATTGATTTACCTAAAGCAGTTGTGGTGGCCTCCAAGATAAGTTATGAATTAGCATCTTTTGAATTATATTACTACAAGCAAGCAAAAGCAAATACTTTGCAAACAACACTAATTTATTAGCTTCCAAATGACAAACATCGATCGTCACATTACACTAATATTCCATTACAAAGATCATATTCCATATAAAAGAGTTCTAAGTTAGCAAAACATTGCATTAGTTTCCAACAACCTCCAATCGACACACATTCACAATAGATGCTGTGAAGACTCCTCCCATTACCGGGATGTAGGTCTTCCAAGAGCATTACCGCCCTCCACCCAAGGATTTCGGCTAAAGCAGGACGCCCCCACAGTAGCCTTTACCTCCGTCCCACATCGGGGAAGGAGTCGTCTCCCCACCCCCATATAAGCCGAAGCACCATATGAGAGCAGTACCCAAGTAGCACACTGTGGTACTTGGGTACTGCTCTCATATGGTGCTTCGGCTTATATGGGGGTGGGGAGACGACTCCTTCCCCGATGTGGGACGGAGGTAAAGGCTACTGTGGGGGCGTCCTGCTTTAGCCGAAATCCTTGGGTGGAGGGCGGTAATGCTCTTGGAAGACCTACATCCCGGTAATGGGAGGAGTCTTCACACAAAAGGCGCCTTTTGAGTGAAGACTCCTCCCATTACCGGGATATAGGTCTTCCAAGGGCAATCCTCCCATTACCGGGAACCCGCCCTCCACCAAAGGATTTCGGCTAAAGCAGGACTCGCCCCACAGTAGCCTTTACCTCCGTCCCACATCGGGGAAGGAGTCGTCTCCCCACTCCCATATAAGCCGAAGCACAATATGGAAGCAGTACCCAAGTAGCACACTGTGGTACTTGGGTACTGCTCTCATATGGTGCTTCGGCTTATATGGGGGTGGGGAGACGACTCCTTCCCCGATGTGGGACGGAGGTAAAGGCTACTGTGGGGCGAGTCCTGCTTTAGCCGAAATCCTTTGGTGGAGGGCGGTAATGCTCTTGGAAGACCTACATCCCGGTAATGGGAGGAGTCTTCACATAAAAGGCGCCTTTTATGTGAAGACCCTGCCCCATTACCGGGACCCTGTCTTCCAAGGGTTAACCTCCCATTACCGGGATATCACCACCCTCCACCAAAGGATTTCGGCTAACCTGTGGGTCAAACCCCCACAGTAGCCTTTACCTCCGTCCCACATCGGGGAAGGAGTCGTCTCCCCACCCCCATATAAGCCGAAGCACCATATGAGAGCAGTACCCAAGTAGCACACTGTGGTACTTGGGTACTGCTCTCATATGGTGCTTCGGCTTATATGGGGGTGGGGAGACGACTCCTTCCCCGATGTGGGACGGAGGTAAAGGCTACTGTGGGGGTTTGACCCACAGGTTAGCCGAAATCCTTTGGTGGAGGGTGGTGATATCCCGGTAATGGGAGGTTAACCCTTGGAAGACAGGGTCCCGGTAATGGGGCAGGGTCTTCACAGATGCATTGACAAAATCTCCCCATTTGAAACATCCCCAGCTGATTTATATTTAGCAGGTTGACTCATGAAGACACATGATCACCATGATAAACCAAAAACCAATAATGCAACACCAAAGTATCCTCACCCCCTTACTTTGGATTGTTCCAACTATTCTTATAAAAGAGTAACACGATGCAAACAAACCTAGTATTATTTGGCATGATAAGTTACATATTAGGGGGTCAATTCATACAAAGTAACCACACTTACCTGTAATCCAAAGAAACATTTACAAAATCACTCAAAATTGATAATGATTTCCCAGTAATACTAGAAAAATGGGTTGCTAAATGTCCAAATAGGAATAACAACTTCTAAAGAATAAAAAAAACCAGGGTATCAAATAGGAAAAACATCTTACAATGTTATTTGCTCATGTGATGAATCGTCTTCTAGGGTTTAACTTCGTCCAAGATATCTTCGTTTTGGTCCTTCGACCACAGTAAAACAATGTTTGCATTTCTCCTTCTTCTTCTTCTTCTTCTTCTGGATCTTTGTATATCTTCTCCTCCAAATCACAAGTGGTTTGGAGTTTTTATGTAATGAAAATGACAAATCTCAGCTCCAACTGGTGTAATTTGATAGTAAAGCCCTTGTATATAATCACGTGTTTCATATGTGATCACAAAATAGGTGGATGTGTAAACGGAAATAAAGTGTTGGTCTAGATTGCAATCTTTTTACTTCTTCAAGGGTGTAATTTGGTAAAATTAATCTTTTGGGGTGCAATCTGAAAATTTTGTTATCTTTTAGGCACAAAGTGAAATTTTGTCATATAATTATCAAAACAAGTATAATTTTTTGGACCATAGAGAATCTAAAAAAAAAACTATAACACTATTCCCAGTAAATCATCTCACATTATATGTGTTTTTTTTTTTCTGCATTAGGATCTCACGTTACATATACAAATTATCGATTGTTGATATATCATATTAAATTTTTATTAAAATATCGTACTGTTAAATTTATTTACTAAATTATTTTTTTTTTAATATATTGTATTTTTAAAATTTATACTATATTATATAGCAAATAAATCTGGTAGAAGAGACTTTGGAAGACATTCCCTCTCTATTTTCTCAATTTTGATTTATTTTAATGTATTCAATCTAACTATATTTCACCATTCTTGGTATGACCAAAACTCTCTAATTGTTATTAATGAAAGTTTATTGGGTAATCAATGTGAGCATCCTATATAAAATAAAATTATATTGAAAGAGTTTTAATATACCATGAATAAGTATTTTAGACATGTGATAGGAAACATAAAAATCAAACTCTATTTAAATGAATTTGGTTTCAATATTTTATTCCTATAGATAAGATTGAGTATTATATAATTAGTTATAAGATGATCAATTTTTCAATGAATACCACATCGATGTAGGTTTTTGTTGTATCAAATCATGATATATTTTTATGTCATGTCTTTATGACATAATCACCCTCCACCTAACTAATAACTCTGCATTTAAATATTTTTAAAAATTATTTTCTATTACCCCAAGTTTTGATAGCTCTTTCGGAGAAGAATGTGAAAGAGGGTAGTGAAAGTTGATAAGACACAAATTCGTGTATCGCAGGGAGTCGCGGCTAATACTCTTTTATATTAAAAACAGTGTTCTATAAAAAATTATGCTAAGAGAGGCATGATGGTTAGCCGTTATGCTAATTTAATTAGGTTTGATTTTGAGAGGTGTTCTAGATGCAGTCAAAGACCTTATAATTTCATCGGTGAGAGTCTATCGGAGCGGTCGCTGGACACTTTTCCTTTGCCCCACCCCTTCCTTAAGTATCAAAAAAAAAAAAAAACAATGTTATCAAAATTGGACTAAGCTGGTCGGTTCAACTGAAAAATCGGGTGTGCACAGAAACCTGCGCTAAACCGGAAAATCGGTCGGTTTCAAAAAATTCCGGGGGGAGGTTTTATCAAACCGGACGGTTCAAATTCCAAAATGAAAATATCCTTGTTTTGAACAATTTTGCCCTAAATCTTCTGTTCTCCAATCTCCAGCCAGACGCACACGAACGACGCCACGCCTCTCTTCTCCTTCAATCGATGTCCTCAGGCTTAAAGAACACAATAATAACAAAAGCCACCCACCGATCTTCTGTAAGTATTCTCATATCTTCTCTCTCTCCCTCTCTCTCTCTAGCATCAATCTTCACTGCACCCACTAATCGCTTTTATCAGAAACCCTAATCAGATTGGTTTGTAAGTTTCTATCATCATTCAGGTTAGTCAATCATTAGTCGCTGAGATAAAAGCCTTTTAATCATGTCATTAGTATGTTACTAAACTTGGAATTGGGTTCTCAAAATCCAAAATCCAAAATCCAAAATCCCATTCTAAACGCTTCTACTGAAATCTCAAGCAAATATTTTGCTATCATATTGTTTTGTATTTGATTTGTCTGTCAATATCGCAGCTTGATTTTTGGTTACTAGTCAATACTTTCGTGGTGCTAATCAACAAATTCAACAACTTAGATGGATCTCAAACCATTCAAGCTAGACATTGATGAGCTCATCAATGAGTTTGCCCAGGTACCACCGAAAACAATAGTTTTTTTTGGGTGAATTTTTCTTGTGTATTCATATGCTTTAAATGGTTTATATCTTCTTCTTCTTTTTTTCTGTTTATTATTGTACTTTAAGCAGTGGATGTTGTTTGATCACAGGGTGAATCAACTACGTTGGCTGAGTTGAAGAGTGTATGGCTTTCTAAAAAGTTCTCCTTCATTTTTGAAGCTAGTCCTTCCACAAACCAGGCTTGCTTTATGCAGTCTTTGTATGCTCACTGTATAGGTATGTTCATATATGCTCAACTGCTTGTTGCATTAGGGTATAATGTAGTATGGGATAGTATATTAGTTTCTGTAGTATATGTGTCCTAGCTTGTTCGTTTAGTTAGATTGGTTCTGGTGGTGGTGATATGATTTCATTTTGTGATGTTTGAGATTTCTTTTTCCTTTTACTTTTGAAGTAAGGGTCCGAATAGAATAAAATTGTAACTTTGAATATGGGAGGATGATACTTTTATAGTGAATTTATTATACATGTGTAGAGCTATAGTTTCCTTAAATATGCTATTCATTGGCTCTTAATGGCTGATGATTTTTAAGTTTGATCTGACTTAAAAGTTGCACTGTTGCAGTACCAGCATAGCCATGCCCTTACGCTTCGCATGAATCCCTTTTTGTTCTTGATTCAAGTTTCTTTACCTTTATCCCGAGCAAGAGGGAACTGGCCTGAATCATTAAGGTTGACTTCCATTTGCTAAAACTCCATTTTTCCCTTTCTTTGTGGCAAAAGCCACCTTCTGGGGTGGGGATTTGGGTTGAAGTGTTACCAGTTTGTCAAACAATGGATGAAAGACAAAGCAGGGGAACCAAACCTCTGTAGAAACCAAAGGCCACGAAAGGCTCCAATGAAAGAGAAAGGTACTCCAGATGTAAGTGCATCTGACCTTATGCAGTTGGACAATACCCCTCACCTTAGAAGCAGGAGAGAAATCCTGAAAAAGATAAAATCTTCTTGTTGGTCACAACCCTAATGGGCAAGAGCATCCTCTGCTCACTTATACTCTCAAAAAGAAGGTTATGAGAGAACATCATATGCTTAAAATGAGAAACCAAAAAAAGTGCCCTTAATACAGTCATTGAGGATGCCTAAAACCCTTGCAAAAGACACAAACTAACCCCATAAAGAATAGCTTTCGCTTTTGCCACCATGTTAGATCAATGAGGATCCATTGCACTGAAGATGTGTTGGATGAACTGAACATAAGATGTTGTTATCTGTTGATAGCAGAAATGATTCCATGCCAAAGACAAACCAAAAATTTCCACCACTATAAGTTTTCCATATCAGCATATCACAACCTGCAATTGGGAAAATCTCATTGCTAGCGCTAACAACTTGATAAGCACGACATCTGAGACAAAGAGTTGTAATAGGCAAGCATTCCAAAGACCATTGGGAAGGATAAAATCCTTTGCTGAAGGTTCATAAGGTTTACAAGTTATTCCCAAAGGACCAGGTCAATTAAAGTGGTGCCTGGAATATCTTATGATCTATAATTAATTTTGATATTACTTTTTTTTCCGTGTAGGAATTTGGGGTTTCAGTTTTCTCAACTCCTGATCTTAATTCAATTTGCTGTCTTAGGTTGGCTTTTCTAATCTTTTGAGTTTTGACCAATGTAACTCCTAAATTTTCGAGGTAGTTCTTCAAGTTCTGTTGTTTCAGGTTGGTGGTTCTTCTTTAGTTAATTTTAAATAAGCTGCCAGTTTACACTGCCAATGCTGCTGGAATGTACGAATAGTCCATATTGTTGAGACATCTGGCCTAAGGTGTTTATTTTCGTCGGCAGTCATTTATCTTTTTATCCTGAAAAGAACTTCAAATTTAGTTGAAGACATGGTTTTAGTCTTTGATCCTTGAAGAGTTAATTTTCTTGCTGAGTGAGCCATAGGTCTTATTTTGCCATTTTATGTTTTCCTTTTTTCTTTTCCACCTCGATGAAGTTCTATCCACAGTAGATTAACTCTCGCAGACTCATATGCAGGTTACATGATGTCTACTGCTTCTATTTCACATAGACTGGGTGGATTCTATTGCCTTTACTGCCTTTATGAGACTCAGCCATTCAAGCCTCCTTTCAAAATTTATTTATCTCTGGGTATGCTTACACCTTCTCTTTTTGAAAGGTGACTATATTGGACTTACCATATTAATTGAATTAGTACTTATTTTTATGCATTCTTCCATTTGTCTGAGATCTGATGATGCACACTGTAGCTTTCAAATTCAATTGAGTAGTGTAATACGTTTGTACTGAAACTCGTGTACATGTATCTTCCGTGGAGGTTATAAATAGTTATTTATATACCAATGTATATAAGCCTTTGATTTTTTTGCTAGCAGAAGTATATTGTAACTAATTTCTATATCATGTCTTGTAATACTTGTGCCTCAACCAAGCCGATGTTGGTGCTGACTTATGATTAATCTTTATGGTACATGACTAAATCATCTAAGAGGGTTTGCCTTTAGAAACATTTGTCTGAAAGTTTATGACCTCAGTATTGTAATTCATTAATTGAGATTTTCTTGTGCTGCCGAGACTTATACTAACGAATCTGAGGAAGTGACTGGAAGGGAAGCAACTGGGCTAGAGTCTAGACTGCTGATCTTCTGGTGTAGTCTGACCCCAGGGAAACAAACAATAATCACTGTCGAGAAAAAACATGCTGTGCCGGGCAGGGGCGGAGCGAGGATTCAATTTCAGAGGGGGCAGAACATGAATTAAAAAATCAACTAATATAAAAGGATTTTGAGTTTAAGCATGAGAAATATATTAATATCATCAACCAGTATCAATAATTTATCAAAATAGAACACAACATTCTTTCAAACCTCAAAAATGTGTCTATAATTGATATAGACTAAATTTCTAACAACTTTCTTTTCGATGTATACCATTAAGGAATCAGTGACAAAATCAACCTTTAGTTTGTTGTGACACCTTATTAGCAAAATCATCAATCTCCACCTTGTTGAAAAACTAATTCATTGAAAAAACATGAAACATTTCTTTTAGTTGAGGCATTTTACCATTTGCATGTAAATATATTTAACTGGGTCAAGAGCTACTACCTTACTAAAAAGAGCCTTGGAGTCTTTACAATTTTTTAAAACACGTGCAATGTATTGAATATAAGAGATGTATTATAGTTTGTCAATAAATATAAGATTCAGAAAATTTCACATTTCTTTTACATTATTTAAAAACAGTATTTTATTGGATTAGAGAATCAATAGTGTGCCATTAAGTTACTAAAAAAAATTAAGATCACTATGTAAATATCAGAAAACCAAGGGGGGCAAGGCATGAAATTTGAGAAAGTCATGATCCTTGTAGCCATATGCATGTAGGAATTTTTGAAAGTTGAGAGGGGGCAACTGCCCCCTACCCAGCAACGTGGCTCCGCCACTGGTGGTGGGTGACTGGAATCCTCTGAGGTCAGTTCAGACTGCACAGACTATCAGTAGGTTCAGGTCCTGTGCTTGTTTGCAGGTTGCACATTGGTCAAGTTGCCTTGAAGGTAAAATTGAGCAAGTGAATTGCTGAATTTTCTGATTGATATTAAAGTTCTTGGGCCACTGCCAACAGAAAAGGTTGAAAAAAATTTCCCATTGCTTTTTGTGGTGATAAAGCTCAAGTAGCCTACTCTGAGAATGCCCAATCGACTTTGAGGACAGTATTCATGTGCTTTTCTGCTACTTTTAGACATGAATAAGGTGTAGAGTTAAAGGTGGGACGGCACCTCCCCCACTCCCTGCTCACTCTTCTGTTTTTTTGTTGACTGTCCATGTATTTTTACTTATGGCTATTTATTACTAATGATGATGACTAGTGATGCTTCTTGCATGGAGATTGAATTTGTTACTGTAACTAGTGCATCTGCCGTTCTGTCTTTCTGTTTTCTTATTTTCTTACTTTTCTCAACCATATGTTTATTTTGCATTTGATAGGAGAGCTGAAGGGGCTCAAGAACCTTGTTGTTGAAGCTAAGGCAAAGGGGATAAAAGTAGTATCTGTTTTAGTCAAAAGGATGCTAGAAAGGAACGTGTTTCTTTTTGGTTTTGTGGACATAAATGAAAGCTCTGTAACAGAGAGGGTAAACCAACTCACAGATATGCAGAATGCCCGCATTCAAGTTGCGCATAAGAAGTATAGTGTTGATTCTCGTTGTTATTGTTATTTTTTTATCTTTCATGCATTGAATTCCATAGTCTCTGTGGTTGTTAGTTCCTCACTGTGGCCCTCTTTGCTGAATAGGTTATTTGCAGATACACGGATTGAACACTTCCTCCACATGGACTTGGTAAGTTTCATATCCGCTTGTTAGAAATTTGATCAAGATGCATACCATCTGGATTCAATTCACCTGAGAGAGGAATCAATGGTGAATATTGAAAAGTTGGTAGAACCGTGACTATTTTGTGATCTGGGTTATGCAGCCAACAATAATGTGAGAATAACAGGAAACTGATTTGCTTTCATGTTTCTATAAGGGACTAGGCCAGAATTGGACAACAATTGTGAGACTAAATTTCTGAGCTACTCTGATGTTTATCAAGAGCCTAAAGTTTGCGCATGGCAGAGAGAGAATAGCCCATGGGGACCAAATGAATGGACCGATGCAGTCCCCCCCCTCCCCCTTTTCCCTGACCAAAAAAAAAAATGCCTCTAATTGATGGAGATGAACCTCTAAAAACTTAAGGGAGGAGAAAACAACAGGAAATAATTGTTTCTATTAATTAGGGGATTATAGTCACTTTGGCAGCTAAGTGTGTTCCTGTCATTTTGGTAGTTTAGGGGTATTTCAATATATTCACTTATTAAGTGTCCAGATTAGTCTCTTATTTAGTTGTTTTGTTTATTCCTTTATTTAGTAGGATTGACAAGTCTTAAGTAGTTTAGGTAATCCTTTTTTCTAGATTTCTGCTTTTCTTAATGGTGGGATTCCATTTATGCATCTCTTCTAGGTGAGACTCCTAGAAGCCTTAGCAATATTCCAGGTTAATGCCCTTCTCCTTCTCTTCCATTTTATGTTCTTTCAATGCTGCTGTGACACGCCTGAGCCATAATTAGGCATCTAGTCAGTTCTTGATTCAAAAACCTTAGTTCAATCCTGCCTACCTCTACCACCTTGAACCCTTGACTTTGTTATTCAGAAATTTCTGTATCTTGTAACAATCAGATTTCTTCGATGGAAGTCTTTGTAAACATAAACCCTAAAGATTTATGCCCCAACCCCCTTAAAAGTTGTGGAACAGCCTTTATTGTGCTTTGCCCGTGTCAATTGCTCCTCATATTTCACAAACAGTTTATAAAAGTAGGTACAATGTGTCATCTTTTTCCGATAAATGTGACAAGCAGTGATTTATTGTGAACAAATTATTTATGTTAAACTATTTCTAAGTGAATCTACATGACAGAGCTAGCCCATCCAACATAATTGGCTCTAGTTACACCCTTTGAATCCTGGAAAAAGGGGACTTAGATTTAACTGGATGTTACATATATATGTCTACAACTCTCTCTGTGTGTGCACGTGTTTCAAATCATATACTTGTATGATGGTATCACAAGGTCGATGGAACTCATATAATAGGTTAGTGAAACAGATTTTTTTTTTTTTTGAGGAGAGTGAAACTGAAATAAGATCAAAACATACCTTTTTGGGGTTCATATTGATTGGCAAACATTTGGCATGTCAAAAGGTCTTGCATTTTACCGAGGGGACCATGGATTTTCTCCCAAAATGTCTCATTAAATTGCTTGTGTTTAATATGCAGGTGTCTTGATATCAATCTTGTAGTTTAAAGTGCTAATTTGTATTTCACACGTTCTAGGGTATGGAACTTGACATTGGTGAGCTCAAGAAAATGTCAACAGACTATGCGGTGGCCAAGGATGAAGCCATCAGAGGTGCATAAATTTATCTTCTTGTGGTTAAGCTGCTGTTGTAATTCTGTCTACTTTGTTTTATTGAATCGAGTTTATTTCAGGCATGGGAAACTTAACATGTCAGGCATGATGACTTAATTACTTGGACTTCAACTAGATATAATAATTGGAAGTCGGTGGCCCTTCCTGAATTTTTCTATAAAAGCATACCTCATACGGTTCACATTTTAATGAATGTGATACTTTCATAAATAAGGTGGAAGATCTGGTTCCAAGTTATTCATGAGTTTTGGAATTCCCGATTTGCAGGAAGTATTGAATAACAACATTTGCCTTCTGTTTGCTACATGCCTGATTCCCAAACTATTCAATTGTTGAGGTTACTTGGATTATTTCCAATACTCTTACCTTTTCTCCCCCTCTTCTCTTTCTTTTTTCTGGCAACTGGCTTATAAAGTCTCGCCTTACATTATCTTGTCATGGATTTGTCAGATTCCGTATACTCCTAGAAATATACAACTGTTGGGAGCTGGCAACTTGAGTGTGACTATTTCCTACAGAGCTTCAAACATGTTCCCACAAACTTGTCTATTTACGTTCTTCTTTGTTTTCTTCCCTTATTAGGATTTTCCACTTGTTTCTTTTACCGATGCTGAGTTTTATTTGTTCTCCTGTAAAGAGGCTAGCAAGGTGGTAGATGTGCAAAACATAAAGCACGTTACGGATAACAAAAGATTGATTGGGGATGTCGTGGAGAAAACTTCTGAAGATTGGAATGCTCAGAAAGAATTTTTCTATCAACAAATAAAATATGGCCAGCGTCCTGCTGAAGAACCACCAAAACAGGGAGAGAACGAGAACTTCGAAGGACAGGAACGGGAAGCCAATCAGAACTTCAAAGAGCAGGGAAGTAATGAGAAATTTGAAGAGCAGGATGACGATGGGAGCTTTGGTAAGGAACTAGAAGACGAGCTATTGTCGCAGCTCTTGACACGATGATGAAGACACTTAACCCTTGAAACTTCTAGAGGACATAATAGCACTTGAAAAATGGGAAGACAAAGCGAATTAGAGCAGAAGGAAGACAAGGAGAATCCCGCAGCTTATGTGGACAATTGAAGGAGCAGGTACCATTTCAACCAAATTGGCAAGGATATCAAACAGAAACCAGACTAATTAGGATATAAAACGTTCTACGCAGCTGAGCAAAACTCATTAAGGGGACGATGATAGTTGCTGCCTGCTGGGTGATAAACATTGCCTTTGTTGTTTTTGCTCGCCTTGATGTCTCCTGACTCCTAGTCGAAGTAAGCTATGAGAGAGATGCTTCAGAGGCCGGTATCCCATTATACTCTTAGATCGGAATTGAATTTTTTTGATTAGTGAGGATAATATGAATACATATACTGGGCTTTTTTGCGCATTTCTAACGAATGTCAACAAGTTCTTGAAAGTTTTGCTTCTACTTCCATTGTTATGATAATGAAACTCTTAACTAGATTTTTGAATGTGGAAACAGTTTATTTTAGCAGTTACTTTTGGTGTGGAAGCAATTACTGTTCTTCTGGGAGGCTATGAAAAGCACAAACTCCGTTTGAGAGAAATGCATACAGTTGAATTTGCGTGTATATGCCCTATTTTTGGAATTTTTTTTTTTAGTTTCTTTTTTGCATATCTAGTTTTATGTAAGGGGATGGGTCGCGATTTGAATTTTTAATTTTTTGGTTATTGTACTTAAAGGTTGCATTTATGAGCAAGGTGAAAAAATGCTAACAACTGGGCCAATTTCAATTATCATTTTGTACAAATAATGTTAAAATTATATGTTGTGCTCGTGGTGTATAGCACATGATCATCGAACTGAACACAAAATTCAGAATATTGTTCATCACAAGGGATACAATTAGCAAATAATTTATTCTAAAATTTCAATAAAGTTAGTTGAATGTGTAGCAGTTAACTTCTTTTTTTTTTCTTGGACAAGATGAAAAGTGTTTAAGAACATCTGAAAAACCAAAGTAAGCAAGAGAAAATAAATGGCAATAACAAATACTAGAAGAATGACAAGACTGATAATTTAAGAAATTGAATACAATGGAATTCTAGATAACAATCTAAATCAAACCTCCTAATCGGGGAAATTGATTGCTATAGAACCATTTTTTATTTTTTAATTTTCAAAAATTAACGAAATTAAGGGTGAGTAATAACTATAATAATACAATAACAAGGAGGGGTGAAATGCAAGTAGATTGACCTAGTTTAATGAGTCGATTCATTTTTTTTTGGCCGATTAAAAAGAAGGTAAGATAAAGAAGTACATCTAACGACTATCCAAATAAGTTCTCAACGATAAAATCATAATACTTGACTGCACCTGAAATTCATCACAGACCTGACCTACCTAGACTATTATAGTGACTAACCACCGGCTCCAACCTCCCAACCTCGAAGCAAAGAATTAGGCTGGAACCCACTAGACCACTCTAGTCGGTGGTGAGTCGATTCAATTTATAGAAGCGTTCTTCAACCAAAACCACCTGCGTTTTGGCGCGAAAATTTGCAAGCAAACTTACTAGGGTTTGTTTCATCAACTGTTGAGTCATAAGCACCGTTTCTTTTCTCTCTCATGGAAGCAGACCAAACAATGGCAAATTTCAGAGACCAGCTTGAAGAAATTAAAACCCTTTTGTCTTCAAACACCAAGTCACACAAACCTGTGGCTTACTCAACTCTATTGCACCTCCAAGAACAGTCCAGTACTGACCAGTCTTTGATACAGTCACTCGCCCATTCATCTCATTCGCTTCTCTCTTCTATCCTCATCGACATATCCGCCGATGAAGAAGAAATGTAAGCTCTTGCCCCATTTAAATTTTTTTTTTTGGCTATCTTGTGCTTTCTTTCTTTTTTTTTTTGGTTGAATTTTAGTTTTTTGAGAATATTTTTGGGTATTTTAGTGCTGCACAGGCTTTGAAATGTCTGGGTTTCATGGTTTACCATCCATCTATCGTTGCGGAAATACCAGGTAAGTGAATGTTTATTGAAATTTACTAGTTTAAGAGAATGTGTGGTAGAGTTGATTCTATTTGTTCTAACCTGAAAGACACACCAATTTTCACATTCTGAGTTTCGCTTCAAGAATCATCGAAGTAACGGGCGTAGTTCGTGCATTGTATATCATTCAGTGACTTATAAAACTAATGTTAAGTTTGTACTTGGTCCATCCATCCCAGCACTGACCGGGATCAGACTGTAATGACTCTTTTGGCTTCTTATATTTGGATTATCATCCTAAGTTCAGCCGGCACTGTGTTTTGGTGCATGAAAGTCAGGCATTGGAAATGGAATTGGAAGACAGTAGTTTAAAATTTGAACCTATTTTTCCGTAATTCCAATTCAAGGAACTCACTTCTGTGACACCAAACATTTAACATGAATGTAAATGACAAAATAAAAATAAAGCTATAGAAGCACCAATGACAATCATTCTTATATATCAAATGGAATCATTATGAAGTACCCTTCTGGATTGAGAATGATATGGCAAGAGAGGATGATAAAGTTGAGGTTTGCCTTTTTGGGTATTGCAGGGAATGATGCTAAAATGATTGCGGGTGTGCTGGTTAAGGTCATAACGACCACTAAAATTAAGGTAGCAAGGAAGTTTTTGCTTATGTTGGATTATTACAATATGTTGTTTAGTCAATGACATGTTGACCTTATTAATCTCAGTCGGTTTGCAATTTAGGAGTCTGGTGTATATCAATTCAACAATTCAATGTGCTGTTTTTGGCTGAACACATCCATTCTTGGTTGACTGCAATTGTTCATGCCCTTGACAATCCTATTGGTTCTTTGTCTACAACATTCGAGGCCATGCAGGTACCGCCAAATGCTTAATGCTATTGTCTGGCTGCTTATGGTATTGAACTTAGCGAAAACCGTAGGATCATTGCATTTGTATTGGTGTATAGTGATATAACAGTTGTCAAACTCTTCCAAGACATTAGGTTTAAATGTTTTGGAAAGTTACCATTTGATAACTCTCGTATATAACATCTTCTAACAGATATGGTTAATACATTTTGAGCTACCTATTGAGTTGGCAGGTTTGACCAATAGTGCATAGACGCACTTGGGCATTTGTGTGGTTCTTGGGCACTTCTAGTGGCACAACAAAATATTTCTGTTTTCTACAAATGGAAATTTTCTAATCAGGTTGAAATTGAAGATGTGTTAATTATTTTTCAAGCAAAGAGGAGTAGAGTGGCGGTCGTACAAGCAAGCATTCGTCTAGTTGCTGGTCTAGCGGGCCTTCCTTTTTCATTCTAAATTCAAGAATACGACCGATACAATTGATTGGTTTGTGTGCCTTTCTTATTACATTTTTGTATCCCCCTGTTCTTCGGATACAATTCAATCCTTTGGTTCAACCCTAAACTTTAGGACGAAAATGGTCAAAACAGACCTATTGATTGATCCTCATTGCACACTTTCTATATATTTAGATGGAAGGAATCACTCTAGTACTTGTACTTCCTAAAGGTATAGGCATTCACAAAGAAGAAAGTGGGACACTACTTACTAATGTAGAGGCACAAACTCTCAGCGATTAAAGGGCGATGGCAACAAGAAAGATTCTAGAAGCGAAAATCAAGAGTGCATATGGTTGGGAAGTTGTCTCTCAGGGGAAAGCAAGCCCACATATTCCTAGTTGTACTTGGGGGAGGCAAATATCACATTGGTTTCCCTTTTTTTAATTGGTAGTTTAATGGATGGCCGCCCCTCCAATGAGAAAAAGTATAAATATGCAAACTTCTAGAATTCTCTTTTTTATATTGCAGTCGTTCTTAGTGATTAATTACTCTACAGATTATGTAAGGAAATGCACTACGAGGACTAAAAAAAAGACATTATTTGAGACTTAGAAATGAAACTTCCATTCAACTATAGTCGAGATGAAATAAGTCTCAACAGGCACTAAGGAGGAAGCTTAGAGACAAAATTCAAATATAAGAATACAAAAGTACGAGCGGGGTGAAATAAACGTAACTCTAGCAAGATCCCCAAAAATTTCCATCAATTCTGGCTGGCAGTTGCTTTTCCCTCCTTTTCATAATCTTGGTTAGCAAAGTACGATTCTCATTGCCCACCAGCTCAACCATGATCTATGGGCATTCATCTTCATAGCTCTTTTCTTTTTCACAGGCCGACTGACCGAGGTCGAGTGCCTCCCTTATTGAGAATCTATATGACTTTGTTCGTCTCTATGACTTGATTTTCAATAGCCAAAAACTTGAGTTTCAAGTTTACGAGTGGTCAATGTATTAGGGTTATGTCCAAATTGGGGCTTTCTTTTCTCGTGCATGCACCTTTGTTCCTCGTTCCTCATTCATTCAAATCAAAGGAAGCTTCTTCAAAAAGGAAGAAAAATAGCGCATTAGCTTGGTTGGTGATTGGCGAGCTTTGCTCTCCTCGTTGTGTAGAGGCTGGTAGCCGGTTGATAAGCAACAATCATTAAATCTCTATCCCGTAGGAACTACGAGATCACTCCACGGACGCCTTCGACATCAAAGGCCACAGACTGTCCGTAAAACCCTATTCAATAAGTGGAAGGTATTAGTTGTCTGTTCTCAAGTTGGGCAGTAAAAGTCCAAAAAAGCCAATCACTCATTCTTAAAACTAACGTTCTTAAAACCAAGGAGTCAGGGGGGGGGGGAGAAGAAGAGGGAAAGCACTCCATTCTAGGTTATCAAGTGATAGGGAAGCCAAGCCGGATAAGCTTTTTAATGTCGACAGCCCCAAAATTAGTTATCTTATAGTAGACACTTAACGCAGACCTACTCAACAAATCTCATAAGGTCTGTTCGCATCACAAGTATTTAATGGTGGGATTATTATTATCCTTTTTGTGGTAACGAATCTTGTATGTGTTCAAAGAAAAGTAATTTGTCTTGGGGCCCAAAAAAAGGGTGTGGGGCCGTGGACCTTGAATAGCTGAGAGGGAAAAAAGAGACTTATTGAAATCGATTAGAACTATGATGTTTGGGATGAATTTACCTCGTTTGGGTAGAAGCTGTGTTGACAGTGATCAATCTAGTATTCATACTAGAAACTATGATTGAGAATTTCTTTATCACTTGCCATCTAGTTCAGATATCCCTTTGAAAATATTTTTCAAGTACAAAAGTTCAGTATCTTCCCAAGAATTTTGTGAATTAGACAGGATTTTTTTGTACAGAATAACAAGTGACCGGTCAATCTTCAAAAATTTCATTGTATATAGCTCGGAGACGTAGAATAAAACTCAGGGTTCCAAACCTCTAGTGAATTACGATAAATGATTATGTCATCGAGGATTTCCACTACAACCTATTCAAGGTAAGGGTTTGAGTTATAGTTATCCATTTAAGTGCAAAACAAGACCTAAATTAGGATGATATTTATAGATCGGTTACTCTTTGTGTACATTATGGAGATTATTTATTTCTGGTTCTAAGACTAGTAGTTCTAGCTGAATTGATCTTGTAAAAGATCCGCTGTAAAATGAATACGTTTATTTTTCAAATGTATCATACCGTCAAGTGTACCAATTCCATTCCAAATTTCATTCATCCACCAGTGGGGATATATGTTAACCCTTTCCCCCTTCCTTTATGGGAAAAGAAGAAATTGAAATCATGCAAATAGTGTTTATTGTTTTTTAGGTCTTTGACAAGGACAGAGAAAGGTATTTAATTAAACTCTGCAAAACATTGTCTAATTCTGTTCATTTTGGTCAATGAAAAGACAGAGAAGATATGTTGTCGAACACTGCAGTTGCCATGCATCTTTTCAGCTTACTGGTAATTTGTTCTGATTTCTTTTACAAGCCCAATATGAGCTTCATGATATATCATATGGCTACAGGAAGAAATTAATACTATGCTTTCCCTAATGCAGATACAAATACATTAATATTAAAGGGAGGAATCAAACTCATCCTTCGCATTTTTTTAATGTTAAATTTGGCATACGGAGTTAGCCACAAACAGATGCATGTGGCTTTAACTCAACTCAACTCAATTTAACACTACTTTTATTCCAAGTACTTGGGGTCCTGGTCCCCTATGAACATTCATAGCTTTAGCTGTTAACTCATATTTCATACTTTCATATTCCGTTTCTGCAAGTGACAGAGTAAGTAGTTCTGTTCAAAGTTACCTGGATGTGGTATGTTGGGTCTTTGCACTTCTTTAATGAAGCACTCACAAATTAGATAATCATAGTGCATTCAATGTAAGGATTCTGTTGATCCATAATGTACTTGTGCCATTCAATGTTTTAATTTTTGAATATCGTGAAACATAATTTCTATTACCTTGTTTTTCCTACTAAAACTGTCATTTTCTTGATACAGGCTGTGATGAAATTAGCAACTCAAATAGGTGAGAAGATGAGGGACTTGTCAAATATTTGGGTTCCTCCAGTATATAGGAGGCTTGTCAGCATCAATAAAAGGGAGAGAGATATGTCAGAAAGATGTTTGCTGAAGATTAGATCTACAATATGTCCTCCAACATTAATTCTGTCCAAGGTACCAGAGGCCACATATGGTGTGTTAGATTTCATCCTCTTACTTTAGGTCTTTATGGTATGGATGATATTAAAACCTTAAAAGGACATTTTATTACATGGAGGACTTTTAATAAGTAATGTGATACTGTCTTTGTCCTCAATAGCGTGTGATGTGCAGGAGTTGTAACTTGCAATGAATGTGTGGATCATCTATTTGTTCATTGCCCCATGGTTTTGAATCTGTGGCATAAAGCTTTGGTGAGTTTAGTGCAATGTTACTTGGATCGTGGGTCGTTTTGGTACGGGTACAGGTACATGATACGACACTTTCCTAGGTACGCGGTACGATGAGAGTAGGTTTAGTTGGTACGATATGTTGGGTCGCAATTCATTTTGAAACTCTTATATAGATCGTTTTCACTATTGTACAACATTATATATTACAAAACATTCATAAACACTAAGTTAGTTATCATTTATTTTATATTTATGCTTGATTTTCTATTATCTAAAATAATATATAATTATAAATCTATAAACATGTAGTCAATTAATATGTATTTTATATTTGTGCTACATGTTCCGAAGCGAATTGAGTTAGGGTTAGTATTACAATTTGGGGTCGTCCATTTTGGTGATCCGGATCGCAAATCCACCTCTTTTAGGATCGAAGTACCCAGATCGTGGGTCGTTAAGGATTTAGTGAATTGTGGTAACCATGGTTTAGTGTGAGTTGGGTAATTCCAAGAGGATGAGCTTCTCCATTTGAGACAAATCTTGGTGCACTTGGGAATGGACATAAAGCATTTATTTTTTGGCATTGTGTGGTTAGGGCAGTTTTTTGGGTGGTGTGGTCGGAAATGAATATCAGAATTCTTGAGGATAAAGATGAACACATGGACTTTCTATGGGAGAGAATCAATTTTTTGGCTTCTCTATGGGCGTTGACTTCAAGAGTTCGAGGATGTGCCTTTTTCTCCCTTAGTCTTGATTGCATGGCAACATGGAGTTAGACAAATACTTTCATAGCTCCATGTTGATGTGGCGTGTTTCGATGTTCTTCTCTTTTTTTCTTTTCCTGGGATGTCTTTCCCACTACATTGCACCTTTTTCATTTATTTAATGATAATTTTTGTTTCCTATCAAAAAATAATGCTACACTTCGACATATGGAAAGTTTGTGTGACTTGACATGTACGTACATCAGTTTAGTCATCTGTGTTTTGCCCTCGGAAATCTTTGTTAGGCTAGTGTGTTTTGTTACATTGCTTGTTGCCTGTTATGTAACTAACGTATATTATTATTATGCTTCTTGAACAGGCACTTGTCCTAGATATGAAGAAAAAATTGCTTCCGTCAATGAAGGAGCTGCTCAACCGTGGCCTGAAGATTCAAACTCTGCAAGCATGGGGATGGTTTACTCGCTTACTAGGTCCTTATGCGATGAAGTATAAGCATTTAATTAATGAAATGCTAAAAATTCCTGAGCAGACATTTTCTGATTTTGACCCTCAAGTCCAGATTGCTTCACAGGTGTTCCTTTTTAAAACCAATTGAGTTAAATGTACTCTACCATTTAACTATCAGCATTTAAAATCAATTTGAATTTCATTGACGCATTCTTCATTCATGGTTTCTTACTTCTAACTATTCAAGATATTCATACGGTCAGATCAATGCTACCATGTTACCTTCGAAGGAATGTGTCTAACTCTTTTGGACACTGCTGGGGCAGTCACGTGGTTGTTTTGCATAGTCCACCACACCCCGAACGTTGTTAATACATGGGTTATAGTCTAATATATTCCTTGACATCCACTATAATATATTCTCATAGTCCAATTTACTCCTCAATTTATTATAATAAGGTGGCCCTGGGTCAAGTGACTTACCCAACTTGTTTGTTCCAGGCAGAGTATAGGGGAGGATTCTTGGTAAGCTTAGGTCAAGAAGCGATGTCCAAAATTTTGGACATCTCAATTCTTGCCCTTGGCTTAGGTCTAGGATTTTAATTAGTTATAGACCGTTGAAGTTAGTCTCCCTTCAGCTGAGCTAGGCAAGTGTAATGCCACTGACAATCTCAAATATGGCCTACTGCATTATTTTCTGAGAACTCCCTATCTTGTTTGATGCCATGACCAGGAATTCTTTTCCAGTTAAACACAATTAGTGTTAGTTGCAATAACTTATATAATTGGCCTTCACTTGGTATTTTATAGCTATGTGCCTTAATTTGCAGGTTGCTTGGGAAGGTTTAATAGATACTCTTATTTACTCTCCAATTCAAGCTCCTAAGACAAATACAGCCCCAGAGCAAAGTAGAGAACAAATGGGAACTTGCAAAGGGAATGACATTGAAAATGCAGCCGATGGATTTTTGAAAAGAATTAAGCTCATAATGACCCCCCTAATAGGAATTATGTCAAGTAAATGTGATGCATCTGTTCACTTGTCTTGCCTGAACACATGGTCTTATCTGCTACATAAACTCGGCACTTCTGTCAACCATCCTTCAGTGATTAAAATGGTCTGGGACCCTATTTTCAAAGTTGTCTTCCAAGCGAGACCTGACATTAAGAATATGGGGTTATGGACTTTCTGCCTGGATTTGCTTGATGATTATGCAGCAGCTAGAAGTACAGATGCTCATGATTACTTGAATAACCAGGAAGGTACCCAATTGTCAGCTTCAAGCCATGCGCTAGGTTCTCCAGTATATGGCAAATGCTCATGGAAGCATTATCCCATCAAATGGTTGCCTTGGGATCTTAGTCAGTTGGACTTCTTTATAAAAATGATTCATATTCTCATCAGTAAAGAATCAATGGAGACTGTTGCTCCTGAAATCAAAGAATGGGCGCGTAATGCATGCTTAAGGATATTTAGATCGGTTCTGAAAGGAGTCCAAAGTAATTTAAAGGGTTCCTCCATTACCTATGATGAGGTCATGCTATGTTTGAACACAATTTTAAGATTCACTACAAAAATATGTGAAGATGAGACTAAAGATGACTGTGACAACAACTATTTGCTTCATATTTCTGTCCAGTTTGTTGAGGCTGTTACCGAAGAGTTGGAACCTTTTATATTGGGATCTCCTCTTTACAAGGTGGCATTAGATCTCAAGCATATTAACGACTTAGGATCAGACAATGAGCTCATACAGGCAGAAGTGCCAGGTCTCTGTTTTACTGCTGCATATTCCGATATGGTTTCACCAATGGTTTATCTAGCCATTCTCTATTCCTCTTTGGTAGATAGGTCAACTTTGAATGCACCTGAAGCAGAGTCCATATTGCTGAGGATGTGCAGATATGTAAAGTTCTTGTTGTCTTCATATGATCCTTCGGAAATTCTCCATGTCTTCATTACTTGGTTATATAACCAAATGGGTTGTAACTGCTTAAAGATATGGATATCTTTAGCAAATAGTCTGAAAGATTACGGAGATGGTGTAAAGGATCCCGCACCATTTAAAATTGATTCGGACAACTCCTCTTATCTTGCAGTCTGCCACCTATTATCCTACCCATTGGCTGTATGCTCTTGCCCTAAGAAATCATTTCTTTTTTCGTCGCAATCAGAGAGAAAGATTGAGCTCGATCATGTTATCGAAGTGTGGAAGTCACTCTATGTATCTATTAATGATGCCTTACAATGTGAGTGTTTTTCCTCAAGGAATTTTTCTGAAGATCTATCAGCAATGTTGAATGAGTACCTTGATGCATACAAACGCATGCTTGAGTCTGGGACTGAACTTAACCTAAGGGAAAATAAACATGATCTTGAGCTTCTTTCTTTATGTGGAGATTTACTGATATGTGTTATGGAACAAATACCCACTCCAGAAGCAAGTTTTAAAGGCATTAAAGGTAAAGATGACGGAGACCATGGGAAATCCAGTGGCGTCAAAAATAGTTTGGGTCTTGCTGCCAGGTCAGTACAACATTGCAAAATATAAATGCTATGCATTCAGGTTAGGTTCATTGTGCATCATCTCAGTGTTGAAGCAAATTGGCTGCATGTACACTAGGTTGTCCATCTTGGGGAATGGTTGCACAGTGCACCACTTGTAAACTTACTATATTTCCGTTATAATTATAAATTTTAAGAACTATGCTTGCTAAATGCAATACATAGCTTTCTTTTCATCTCCTTCCCTTTGTTGTTGCTTGCTCTGGCATTGTACAGGTTTATGAGCCTATCATATACAAATGCAAAGATAGACCAACAAGCTGGGCTTGCTGCAACTGTAAGGTATGTTGCTAAGGTTGTCTCGAGTGATGCATTTTCCATTTGAATTCTGGTTCATCATTGTCTTATTGTGGGAGAGTTTCAGGGTATTCTCTATATTGTTGGACTTTGTGGGCTGCCTTTGCTTGAAGGAAGATATTCTTTCGTTCTTCGAGGTCTGTATTTTTGCTTATTTGGCAGTCTGCCACATTAAGTAGCTACTTTTGGAAACAAAACCAGGGGAAAGTTGTTTAAGAAGATTTTATACATGCTTCATTTCTAAGTCAGGTTTTGTTTGATATTCTGAAGCAATGTTCTAGTGGAAGCGATACTCACCTGCCTCCTTATGGAAGTTGGAAGAAAACAAAAAAAGTTCATCTGCCTTTTTATCCTCTAGCATTGTCCTTAAAAAGTGCATATAAATTAGACTGGGAGTAATTGTACCCCTCAATAGTCAATCCTTATGTTGTTTCAAACATGTCTTTGCTCTAGAACAGGACTCCAATGTTTTGTTTTCTCTTTGTTCTCGTCAGATTTTTTTGAGTCCATTGCTTCAGTGGCTGTCGTATGTGGAAATGAAGGATGAGAACATCAATCATCAACTTCAGCTCTTATGGACTGGTATTCTTGAATGTTTGCGAAAGAGTTGGCCGCCAATAAAATTTGATTCTCCCTTCCTTCAACTCCTAGCACCCCTGCTTGAGACAACTTTTGATCACCCGAATCCCTCCATTTCTGATCCTAGCATTGCCTTCTGGAATTCCACGTTCAGTGGGCAGATCAAGTTAGACTACCCCCAAAGCTTACTTCCTGTCTTAGACAAGCTCTCGAGGAGTGGAAAAATAAATCTCTGCAAGAGAAGTGCACTATTGAGTGAAAAAGGTAATTCTAGAGTAGATGTCATTGGTCTTCCGCATGGATACAGGGTGACTACAACACAGAACAGGAACTCAAAAAGAGTGGAGTTTGTGGAGGATAAGGTGAATGGTCTTCCGCAAAATCATAAGCTGTCTTTGTGCTCAAAAAGAAAAAGACCTGAACTAACAGAGCATCAAAAGGAAGTGAGAAGAGCGCAGCAAGGGAGGGCGAAGGATTCTAATGGTCACGGCCCTGGAATTCGTACTTATACTCGTGTCGACTTCTCTCAAGGGAATGAAGAGTCACAAGATAGCCAGGAAATCCGGGATGCAGAATCCATCTTGGAGATGTTGAGAAGAGATGGTAAACTCTCTTGATTTGAAGGGCTTGGTTTAATGTGATCAGTTGATGGTGTAATAATAGAGTTGATCAAGTGTTATGCTCATATTCCCCTGGTTGTTGTGTTCATGTGAATGTATTGTCGCGCATTATGTATTTCAATCTGTTTGTGTAATCTGATACATCTAGTTTGTTGGAAAAGAGCAACGCTATAAGGGCCCAATATTGGAAATTTAATGAAGGATTTAATTTAATGCAACTATAGGATTAGTTGTAAATTTTATGTTAGATGAAGTTCGTCTTCAATCTAATGGTTGCATTGAATTACGTCAAGGATTAGGTGTAACTAGTGTTTTTCGTTGAAAAAATACAGGGTAACATATTGAAAAATTAAAACCCAATAAGATCAATTTATTACTTAAAATTGCATTTAGAGTCGGATATTAAAAAAGAAAAGTGACGATGCAATGATGTTCAGAGAAATTGAGATCAATCCCTTTTGACTTTATTGAGTCTTAATTTGATCTATATAAGTCGTCATTTGATCCGATGGAGTAGTACGATGTTGATAAATATTTTTTTATTGAAGTTCACATATCCCTTGCATGATCAAATCCATGCAAATTATGGAACCAGTAAAAGGGGGAGAAAGGTTCCAATGGAAACCTAATTATTCTTTTTGAAGGTCTAAAGTATCGTTAAACCACACTTTTATAATTTGTATTTGTATTGAAAATCAAAATCAAACGAGTTTATATTCGTATTAAAATTTAAAATTAAACAAGCATTTTATTTTTTTATTTTATTTTACGCGAGATTTTTAAACTTAGTTATTATTTTTTGAATGGAAGTATGGAGCCCCACTAGAAAGGGGAGGTTTTTACTAGTACTTTTACCCCTAAAGTAATATCTAGTTTCACTTTGATCCTCAAAACATTTTGGTATTAACTTTGTGCATCAACTTTCAATGTATTTCAAGTTAGTTTAGATAATACTTCTCAAATAATTTGGTGAGAAATACAATGCATTATTTTTATTTCGTGCAAATACATTAGCTTTAGTAAAAATTATTATTATCGTTCCTGAGTAGATCGAGTGAATAATATATTCAATGTTGAATGGTCAAAGTGATGCAAAAAATTTAAAGGGCAAAGTGGAAATTGAAGCATATTTTAGAGTAAAAAGCCTAATTAACCAAAATGAAAAATTGGTGCAAAAAAAATAAAAAAGATAAAAGCTTAGAATCCCATGATCATGTCCAAAGTGTTCCGTCCATTATCCAATAGGGTCTACCCCAAATTAGCCAAGTATGAAGAGCAAAGTGTTACTCTTTAACCTCACAAGTATCAACCCTTCTCCACTTCCTCCACCGTTCGATCACTTCCACAACAAAAAAGTCCCTCTCATCCACGGTCGAGAGTAGTCTCTCATAAACCTCCGTAGTACTGTAACATATTTACTCCAAAATGGCTCATCTCACTCACGGAGTTCCCAGTTAAGTAAAAGAAGAACCCGTCTCTCTCTCCCTCTAGATTATCTTTCTCTCTCTCTCTCTCTCTCTCTCTCTCTCTCCGTATTCCCCCCCTCCTGGAAAACCCCTCCCGCTCTCTCTCTAAATCAACTCATCACAGTTGATATATACATATATACGTATATATTTACGAATGCCCACGCTCTTCTCTCTTCGTAATCGAGGCCTTAGGAATTTTGAGAACTGATTTCTCTTCAATTTCAGATTCGAATGTGAAGATTGCACTGTTGAAGTTAGGCTTTTTATTATTCAGCTAGGGTTTCTGGATTTGTATAGTGCATTTCGATTGTGTAGTGCTCTCTTATTGGTCGATCTGTGAATGGATTCAACGACGTCGTCGAACTCAATGGCGGTTGTAAACAAAGAAGCGTCGTCGGGGGAAGACGACGGTGCTCTCTCCGTCACCGCCGGGCTCGCCAAAGAAGCTGTGTTGTTATTCCAGTCGGGGAAGTTTGCTGACTGTATCAAAGTTTTGAATCAGTTGTTAGAAAAGAAGAAGAACGATCCAAAGGTAATAGAAACCTGGAAGTTTAATTCGATTCAATTTCTTTTAATTTTTTTGATCCTTTGCAGCAAATTTTATGCGATTTTGATAGTTTGAAGCTGTTTGATTTTACTTTGTGGTGATGTTGAGTTGATTTTTTGATTTGGCGATTTGCTTTGGGAAATGCGTTTTGTAGTTTCGAAATGAAGTGAATTTCATAGTAATGTGTACTTTTGGCTGATGTTTTTAGTTCTTGTATGTTATGGGCTCTGATAGGTTAATGGGTAGTGAAGAACTATGAAAGCTTACTTTTGGGGATTTGCGGCTATCAAATAGCATGCCATGTACATATATCATATGCAATAACATAGCTATTTTTGGCTTACTATACAAAATGATGTAGTGTGGACCAACATTGAATCTTTAATTAGATGTTTCTTGTGATGCATCCAAGAATTAGGGTTAGGACAGACAAATCCTTTCGACAACACCGTATAGGGGGGCGATTATATGTCGTTTTGGAAAATAGAAACAAATTTGGGGATGTGAGGCAAACCTTTATAATTGTGAGGATCACTTAGTAAATGCCATATCATTTATGGGATTTTTTTAAACTTTAAGGAAGCCTCCCTCCCACTCTTCCCACCTCAATGATTGGATGCTTAGGTTCCTTTATCTACTTGATAGTCATAGTGTGGGCATTGTGACGCCTTTGGTCAAGAGATTAAGGAATGATGTGATAGAGGGATGCTGTGATGCAATTTTGAGATGACATTTTGAAACTGGAAGTGGTTATGCTTGGGAAATAAAGGTGGGTCATTTGCAGCTGTTAAAAGTGGGGAGTGCAATTCTAATGCTTTAGATTTTAGACTTGAGAAATGATGTCATTTGTGATAGCATGCATTCCAATTTAAGGCTACAAAATAGAGAAGGTTGCATGATATCTGCAACATTGTACATTTAGCAATAATTTGAAGGGGCTCCCTGTATTTGGATGGAGAAACCCAAAAGGACAACCAATGCAAGTTAGCTAAACAAAGTCGCATTCTGCATTTTTTTTTTGTAGGGGGGTGGGTATTGGAGGAAAACAAAAAATATAAGATTTATAGAATATTTGATTAGGAGAACATTAAGAGCCATTAACATGTATATATTTAAAAGGTTAGTGGTAATTATGATTATTTTTGCTTTTCGCCTTGTATCTAGTTGGAAGTTTTGAATCTCATTGAATTTTATCTCATGCTTTGTTTTCCTATTTATTACAGATTCTTCATAACATTGCAACTGTGGAATGTTTTCAAAATGGTTGTTCAGACCCAAAGAGGTTACTTGAAGTTCTAAATAATGTTAAGGTTTGTGCTGATATTGTGATTGATTCTTTGATTGTAATATGGTTTGTGAATTGTTCTTCTTCTTCTACATCTCCTTCCCTCTCTAGTCTCATTTTCGATCTTCATTATACAAGTTATATATACATATGATTGCACATACGCTTGTGTGCATATGTCGTGACACTTTTTCCTAGTAGTGATATTGAAGGAAGAGTTTCTGTGTACTACACATTAATAATAGTTTTCTATGAGGTAGAAGACTTCTATTTCTTTAAATAGATGAGAAACTTTGCTGATGGAAGATAAAGAGGAAAGAAATAAGCAGAGGGGTTCTCCTTAAAGTTAGAATAATGTTACTGAATGAAATGAGCGATCCTTAAAGTAGGATTGTAGCCGCCAGAATTTGTTCAATATCTTATCTTCTGTGAATCAAGTTTTTACTCTGGTCAGTTTCCCCTACTACTGCCGTCTCTCCCTCCCCTCATTTCTTGTGCCGCCCCCAAGAAAATAAATGAGTAAACTAGAATAAGATAAAGAAAAAACCACCCAAACCAATAAAACAACTTTTATCCCCTGTTGTATTTTTCATTTATTGGAAAGATTTCCCTTTCTTTTTATCAAATGTGTTGTTAGAGGCAATTCCTTTAGGTAATGCCTGAAACTCCCTGGAGTTTTGTTTTTCTGGGAAGAGGATGGTTTTATAAAGCTTGGGGGTTCTAAGGGAAATGTTGCATTTGAAGCATTGCTCTTTGTGATCATGAGGCATATGCGTATGGGAAGAAACATTAGGTTTCTTGAGTATTAGAAGTTTATAGCGGATGATACTACTTTTCAATGTTACGACTTGAATATAGAAAAGAAAATAGTGGCTGCTTTGAATCTGGTTTCCTTCAAAGTAGCATTTCCAAATTGAAAGGGTTTCCATCTTGAGCCTAAGTGGAACCCGAGTCACAAGATAAGATGAAAGAACTATAAAATCGAAAAGGGGAATGGGGAGACCTTTAAAGTCCACTTAATAGTGGGCTGGGCCTAAATTGGATACTGTTGGACCTTGACCGAGTTTCTGTCTTAAAACTGGAAGAGGATGATCAACACTTCTCATTTGATTGGTACTGAGCAAGATCCTGTTTGGTGGGTTGGGGGCCTTTTTTCTTTCATTTGTACATTTTTTTGTAGTTTTATTTCAAACTTTCTCTGAGCCATTAATGGTGTGGTCATCTCTCTTCTACAAGCTGCAGATTCCCTTTTTTTTGTATGAGACCTTTCATGCCTTACCTCATATTTGAGAGGAATTGAGTTGATTTGAAGTTTCAAGAGTCTTGTAAATTGATATCAATCTGAAGAGTGAGTTGTTGTTTGGATGGGTGGGTGTCATTACTGTATCAAGGATCTAGTTCTCATAGGCTACCACTGCAATCCTTTTTAGGGCTGGTTGAAAGATTATGTATTCCATCGTTTAGTTGATTTGTAGAATAACTAGGTAAGTCTCGCTTCACTGATCTGTAGGAATTAAAATTTTAAGGTGACTCTGTTTTTTCTTTTGGTATTCATGCGCTAATTTGTATCTATATTACTTATAACTGTCAGTATCTGAGAAAAAGCTCTTGATTTTCTATTTTATCCCTATATATTATCTTTAAGTTAATTGTGCCTACATATTTACTTTCATCCAATTTTTATTTCTATATCTATTTGACTTTCAAGTTCTTTTGAACTTTTTATTAGTAGTATTTGACTACTAAATTCTTTTAGACTCATTTATTAGTAGTACATTTACATACAATTTTCTATATTTATGTCTATGTTTATATGAATAAGTAAAATCCAATTTATATTGTATTAGTATATACATGTAGTTGTTAGATTAGATTATACGTTTAGCAAGAATTAAAATAAGAATTAATTATTCGACACAATTTATTATTCAGTTTAATTGCACATATAATTTATAGTATAGAAAAAATTATTATTTAAATATGTTGACATGCGTTATAGTGCATTTTGGTACTCAAAGTGATGTGTTTAACTTGTTTTGTCAGTTGTGTATTGTGTTTGTCTTGGGTTCATATTCTCTTACTTTTGGTTGATTTTTTCTTTACTTTGTTTCAGAAACGTAGTGAAGAGCTTTCCCGTGCATTTGTTGAACATGTGGAGGCTCTTAGCAACCATGGAAGCAAAGCTCTAACAGGGGCTAAGGGAACTAATAGTATGGCACATCATATTTCTGCAGAAAATGGTTCACGTGTTGTGTACACTGACGAGTTTGGCACATCTGTGACAATGTTCAACATAGTATGTTCACTTATTGTTGGCATAGTTGTTTTTGATTCTCAAGCATTTATGTAGCCTTCTTCTATTCATTTTTCTTTGAGGGTAAACATAAATTAACATGCTTGTTTGATATTGATCTTCTACAGGCAGTTATCTGGTTTCATCTCCATGACTATGAAAAGTCATTCTCAATATTGGAACCGTTGTATCAGAATATTGAACCAATAGACGAGGTATAACCCATTTAGCAGAAAATATGTTTTGGTAGGTAAACTTGGGTTCTGATCGATTTTTTTAATGCAGGCAACAGCTTTTCGGATTTGCCTTTTGATGCTGGATGTTGCGTTACTTTCCGGCCATGTATCAAGATCTGCAGTAAGTCTCATTTATGGAGTCCAACTAATTGCCTTCGTACAAATTTTACCTGATGTTAGATAATTCTCTATAACTTTGTTTTGAGATGGTAATGTGTATATAATCTAAAAAGGATCGGTGAATGCTTAAGCTATTCATTTCATGCAATGCCTCATTTCCTTGCTTTTACACCTATGGGTGCTATCTTACATTAGGTGTTCTTGTTGGATGAATTCAAGCAAGCTATTATCTCCAATTGATAGGGGTTTTGCCTTCACTTTGAGATGGGGAGTAATGTTGCCATAGATGCTAACCTCATTAATCTACAACCTGTTTGGAATATTATATATTTTCTTGAATTTTGTTGAAACATTGTTTTTGGATTTAGTTTTATATTTATTTTTGGTTGGGTCACTATTGTAGGTAGATTATTAGATGCTTTTACTGGTTGGAAGATGATCTTTGCTAATATGATTTCTTCTGGTGAAAACATTTAATGGGCAATATTAAGAGCAAAAAGCACAAACCTTTTAGATCAAAAGAAAATAAGTTTCTTTTGAAGTCTCAATTCTATTAGTGTCTTTCTGAGTAATGAAATGCACTTGGAAGGGTACAGAGATATTTATACGTATATAAGGTCTTCCACATGTCCTACTCAAGAACAAGTCGTATATGCATGTGCTGAAATAATGCCAAAGGTTAGCAAGTAGTTGATTAATTGGGGGACCTGATGGCCTTTTCACACGTTGTTGCGTAAATAACACTTTCATTCGCCAAGCAAAACAAATTATCAACAATCATATTAATTACATAATATCGTGTGTAAGGTTGCGTATATCTGACCCTCCCCAGACGGACTCCACACTCGCTCACTAGGCTGTTCTTTTTAGTAATAGATTTAAACATTTTTATTTAATAGTGATACGTCTGGAAGAGAACGTTGAGACAACCTATTGCATAGTGTTGGAACATTATGCTTTTTTTTTTTTTTTTTCAGTGTGTTCTTGGAACTCATATATCTATGATACTAAGATTTCATTGTGATTTTTCCTGTCCAGGATGTAGTCAACTACGTGGAAAAAGTTTTTTGTATCAATAACTTGATCAATCAAGGTGACAACGGAAGTTCCGCACTGCAACAGTCTTCAACTGTTGTGTCAAAACCTCCATCAGTTCCAAGCAATATAACAGTTCCAGATGCTTCCGGTTCTGATTTAGCGGCAAATGTCTTGGAAAGTCCTTTATCTAGAACTTTATCAGAGGAGAGTATTGAAACCTTTTTATCAACCCTTGACATTAGTGGAAAGAATCCACCCAGACCATCTGGCCTTCAAGCATCAAATGATCTTCCAAGAACCCAAGTTGATGAGTCCATCTCAACCATAGATCTAAAGCTCAAGTTGCATCTTTACAAGGTTCAGTTTCTGCTTTTTAGTAGGAACCTCAAGGCAGCAAAGCGCGAAGTTAAGATGGCTATTAACATGGCACGGGGAAAAGATTATACATTGGCCCTTTTTTTGAAGTCCCAACTTGAATATGCTCGTGGGAACCACCGTAAAGCAATCAAGCTCTTGATGGCATCAAATAATCAAACAGAAATAGGGATTTCCAGCATATACCACAACAATCTTGGGTGTATCTATTATCAAATTGGGAAATACCACACATCATCTATATTTTTTTCCAAGGCAGTGTGTAATAGTTCATCTCTACGGAAGGAAAAGCCTGTAAAGCTCTCAGCTTTCTCACAAGATAAATCTCTTCTTATTATGTATAACTGTGGTGTGCAGTACCTGGCTTGTGAGAAACCAGTACTTGCGGCTCGTTGTTTCCACAAGGCCAGTTTAATTTTCTACAATCGACCTCTGTTCTGGCTTCGAGTTGCTGAATGTTGTCTAGTGGCGCTGGAGAAGGGACTTCTAAAGTCCAGTGCGGCTCCATCTGACAGATCAGAAGTTAAAGTTCATGTTATTGGGAAGGGAAAATGGAGGCAACTTGCTATGGAAGATGGGATTTCAAGAAATGGGCATGTGAATTTTGTTGGAAGGGAAGACTCATTTCTGGGTGATGATAGACAGCCTGCTCTCTCGATGTGCCTTGCCAGGCAGTGTCTTCACAATGCATTGCATTTACTGAACTGTTCAGAGGCTGGTTTGCCTTCTAATTCAGCAGCAGAAACAATGGAAGGAGATGACCCAATAGAAACAGATTCATCTGAAAATACCAACTACAAGAGCGTATCTGGTACTGATTCCAAGGCATCTAATCCAACAGTGGGCTCTGGTCAGGTCAATGCAAATGGAGAAGTGAAAGACCAAAAGGGTGGAAATAGCCAGAATTCCGCCTTACATAGCTCCATCTCTGATTTTGAAGATATATGTAGTAAGGAAAACCATATGATCAAGCAAGCTCTTCTTGCTGATTTGGCCTATGTTGAGTTGGAATTGGGAAATCCGTTGAAGGCCCTGTCTGCAGCAAGGTCTCTCTTAAGACTATCCGAATGCTCCAGAATATACATATTTTTGGGCAATGTGTACGCTGCTGAGGCTCTGTGCCTGTTAAACAGGCCAAAGGAAGCTGCTGAGCATTTAGTGAGGTATATGTCTGGTGGAAACGGTGTTGACCTGCCGTATAGCCAAGAGGACTCTGAACAGTGGCGCATAGAAAACACTCTGGATTGTGAGGAATGGAATGGTGGTTCAGCGCCTGTTAATACTTTGTCACCTGATGAATCACAAGGTTTTGAATTCCTCAAGCCTGAAGAGGCTCGTGGAACCCTTTATGCAAACCTAGCAGCCATGTTTGCAATGCAGGGAGATCTTGAGCAAGCCCACCAATTTGTGATGCAAGCATTGTCTGCCATACCGGACAGTCCACAAGCCATTCTTACTGCAATTTATGTGGACCTCATGCACGGAAAGACGCAAGAAGCTGTTGCCAAGTTGAAACAGTGTAGTCATATTAGGTTCCTCCCTGGAAATTTAACACCAAATAGCTCTAGTTGATGGTTGTATTGGTGGCTTTTCATTGGTCGTGTCCCACCCACCCTTCACTCCGAGTTAGCAGGTAGGTAAACGATCCTTTTAAAGAGGATTTGTAACATATATATAGTTCGGTCCAGGGAATAAGTTTTTTATTTTTCTATTTTTTTCATTTCATAAATATTCCCATTTCTAGGGTTCGGTGATTGGTGGTGTGGCTGAGATCATTTTGGTCGCCGCAGATGCCCACCTACAAAATTTGAGATGTAGTTTTTGATTTAGATGCTTGTGTTCTAGTGGCTAATCCAGTTCCAATTCAGGAATATAGAAATCATGTGCTCCTCAGAAGTCAATTTTTTAAAAATTTCCTTTCATTCCAGATGTTTAACAGTGGTCATTTTCTTATTCATGCCTTCCTCTTATCCCCCGCTCCCCTTTTTTTTCCTGCTGCAGAATTTATAAATGAGTTGTGTATTCATGGTAAAAATCCTGACAAAAACATGAAATGAACCTAAGATTATCAACTTTGTTCTTATCAGGGAGTTCAAGTGCCTTGCAGCTGTATTGTTCTGTAGTGTTGAAAGTGTTTAACTTCTCCAACCCTGAGAATTCATTTTCTTTTTGCTATTCCCGTTTCTGGGAATTGAATGGGGTGATCTAAGCTCACACTGTTGAATCTAACCATCCAATGGTTCTGATTGTGACACATCATTTGGTACAAGAAATCTAGTATATAATTTTGGTGCATAAAACGTTATTCGTCAGTGTTTAGGAAGAAATGAAACCTTTTGTCACGACCCCTCGTTTTTTTATTCACAAGAAGCTATAGGTAAGCGTAGCTACAAAAAACAATAGGCTACTGAGTTTTCATTCTGAGCAATGGTAGAATGGCATCAAAGCAAGTACCAATCAGAACTCTAGGATTCTAACGGTAGAGGTTGGGCGATGAGAATGACTACGCGCGCAACAACGTGGTGTATTAGTTTTGAATTTTTATTGTATAGTACCTTTTAAAATCATGTAAGCTTATTCTTTAGTGATGGGTCCGTGGTGTGACAAGGAGGGCTGAATCAATTTTAGCCCACCTGGTTTGATCTCTGAAGGCTTTTGAAAGCATAGTAGAAAGACAAGTTTCCTTTCATTCTAGAAGAAAAAAAGAAAGATGCATATTAAATAATGTGAAAAAAAGTCTTCCTGGATTCATATTGTGCGTGCAGAATCTTGTACAATATAAAAAACGAAAACAGATCTCTCTCTTGGTGAACTGGAGTGAGTCAGCTGAGTGGTCAACCACGCTGCTTGGGACAGCCTGTGAAATCCGGTGGTAACCTAGAACGGCAACGGGAGTCCCTTGTGAATTGAAAGAATGATCCAGTAAGGCTGGGGAAAGGTTCCTGAAACAAAGGAGAACAAGTTAGAAGGGCGCCGGAGTGTTTTCCGGCGTATCCCCTCCGACGATCAAGTTAGTTTTTGAAAGGGAGAGGAAGAAGAAAACACTGAGCATATTTTGTGGTAAAGAGTTTCTTGTTGCATACCGTTTTGCCTTTTATGAGGAGTATTTATACCTCAAAAACTCATGATTGCTGTCAGTGTTGTCAGTAGATGATCATTAGGTACAGGCAGTGTGCACACTGATTCTGATGAGGAATGTCTTCCTTTTTTTAACTGCTCGGAGTGCCGAGCAATCAATGCTGTGTCATCCGGCTGCCGACTGTCTAATGATCTCCACTCGGGGAGGATGCAATAAATGCCCAGCCTTAGAGACATTTATTGCCTTTCAATTCCTAGCCTTACCGCATTGAATGCGGTCTCATCAAGGGAATGGTGTAATTAAATGTTTGCTTTCCCAAGTCGCATTGTCAGTAAGGACATGCGGTCTTTCTGTCTCTGATGTGACACAATTTGCCACGCGTTCATCCCTCATTGGCTGTGGACCCTGCCTTCCTGTTCCTTCTGACACCAATTGTGTAAGACGAGACCATGATAGCTAACCTAGACTAGCCTAGGCTAATGACCTGTACATCAATAGTTTATACTGGAGCAGAGAAAAAGGCATCTTGGACGGGGTACATCTCGGTACCGAGGACATGCACATCTCAGTACCGAGGAAAGGTACATCTCGAGCCGAGGGAAGCCGTACATGATGACCGAGGTACCATATTAGATCGAGGTATCATATCAGACCGAGGGTCGGTTCGTAAAACGTACTCGACACGTGTCAGTACCTCGGGGGCGAGGGAGTTTGTAAGCCGATGGTACGTGATCTCAGTTAACAGGATTTTTAGTGACGCCAAGGCCACGTGTCTTCATCTTGGAGTATTTCAAAAAAGTCCCATCAACTGCCTCCCAGCCTTTGATCTTCTGACGCCGAGGACACGCGTCGTAAGGAGACGAAGGGTTTCCCAACAACCTCAACTGCTTCATCATTGCCTCTAGCCGCTTTCCCATGCTTAGGGAGTCGTGCGCATTAAATGCCCTCTTTCGTGTTTCGCGCCCAATGATGAGACCGGTACTATATAAATGGGCTTCCTCCCTCTTTTTCTCATTTCGTCATTCTGAATTTTTCTTCCAGAGAGCCCTTGCCTGAATCTTCGCCGGAGACCTCTTCTCTTCTGTCTCTTAACTGCCCAACCTTTTCACTGAAGCTTTAAAGCTAGCTGACTCATCCTTTGTTTCTGAACATTCTGGGAAGGAATCGATTCAAGTTTTCCGAAAAATACCTCTTCTTACGCTCTGGTGAGTTCCAGTATCCTCCATTTCTTTGCCCTTCTGTCTCTTTTGGTTTTCCGATTACCAGAGGTGTTTTCTGGTTGTCATCCAGCGATCGACCCCCGGGAAGCCTTCTTGGGGATCTTCGTGGAAAAACCCCCTCTATTTTTATCACTTCTTGAACATGCCTCGTCGTCGTTCTGCCCCCGAGAATCCTCAGGCTAGTACTTCGAGGCCAGGGAAGTATAAAGTAAAAGGTAGTGAACAAATTAATAGATTTAGGGTTAGGTACGGCGTTCCACCGAATGTAGAGGTAGAGGATTATGATGAGGCTGTACACCCTCGTACCCTCGGTACCGAGGATGCAATGCCTTTTTATATTAAAGCCATTATAGAAGGCGGAATTAGGTTCCCTTTGCCCCCTCTGCTTCTCCAGTTCCTCTCTCATTTCCACCTCTTTCCCGGGCAGTGTTGCCTTAATGTCTTTAGATAATTATGGGGGTGCTAGAGCTCAATAGGCGTCTTGGGGTAAACGTCGGGCTAGACGATATCCTTTTTTGTTATTCCCTTTTGAGAGTTACGCCTCAACAACACTTCTACCTCAAAGCCAGGGACCCATCTATGTACCTCGTAACTCACCTTCCTGACTCGGACAAGGGTACAAGGATGACCTACTCATCTTCAGGGGATCTTGGCAGAGAGGTGTCGGTCCCGAGTATGACGGCTTGTTATGTCCATTGGAATGGAGAACGACAAATACGTCGATTCCTTCGGGCCTCATTATTTTGTTTCTGAAATTTTCTACATGCTCATGACCCTATCTCCTCTTTTTGCTTGTGCAGACATCTCCCCTCGGGAAACAGCACCTCCACCCCGATCGTCGGTGAATTTTGCTGACTTAATCACTGTTTGAAATTTTACTGGCGATGACGGGCTCGGCGGGACTGCCCACATCCTCCTGAATTACACCCCTGGGTATAAAAAGTTTTCGCAGTTTCTCCAGCCTTTCGAGCCTTCTCGGTGGTCTGAACTCTTTGATCAGGCGACGGGGCAGGAAGTTGAGGAGAACTTGGAAGAAGACCCTAATCGGGCCTCGGAGGCTGAAGAGGCTGAAGTTGAAGAGCTCGGGGTCGGAGAGGACTTGGTTCCTACGCACGCCGAGGTGGGGACTTCGGGGAGAGATTCCTGGCCGGACTTCCAAATCCTGCACTCTCTCGACGTCGAGGACGCCCTTGAGGTAGCTATGTCCAGCGCGCCCCGTATTGATTTAGGGTTCCTTAGGCAGAGGCAAGCCCTCGCTGCTGGGAGGGGACGAGGATCGACCGGTGGGACCCCACCTGCAGGGACCAGTGCCACCCCCTCCTCAAGAGTCGTCAGTCGGGGTCAGGTGCGTGACCGAGATCCTCAGATAGAGGAGGAGAGGAGGGTCAAACATAGGCACGACGACCTTGGGAGGGGATCCAGGGCCTCCCCCGCTCAGCAGCAAAGTGGGAGGGCCGTGGGTTACCTCCTGCTCCTCAGCAACAAACAACAACAGCAACAGCAACAGTGGCGACAGCAGACTCCTCCTCTTCCGCAGACAGTGGAAGCTGCGGAGTGGAACCCTCGAGCCACTGATCACATGGACCGAGTGATCAGGGTCGACAATTCCATTTTGCAGGACCCTCATGTCGCCAATGCAGTGAGTGAGACGCTGCATTTCGAGGCCGACATGGCGGCTCACAGGGGGCGATCAACAAACGTGTTGTTTCGCTCCATCATCCAAAATTCCTTGGTGGTAAGTTCATCTTTGCTTCAGTCTCTTTTAGCCCCAATTTTCCTTTTAGTGACATGCTCTTTTATTTGCAGGCCACCCAACAGATTTCCATTATAGCGGCGCGGTACCATGGGACTAGGATGGACCTTCAGCGGGTTCGAGAGCAGAAGGAAGAAGCCGAGGGAGCCCTTGCCAGTGCTAGGGAGGATGTCGCTGCAAGGGATTCCACCCTCGCGGGGCAGGCTGCTCAAATCGAGCAACTCCTCAAGGAGGCCGAGTTGGCAAAGGTCGGCGCTGAAAAGCTAAGTGCTGCCCTTGCCGACGCTGAGAGGAGGATAACAGAACAGATGCAGCGGCTCTCTGCGGCAGAGGAGAGGGCTGTTGGTTCAGAGGAAAGCTGCTTGGCTCTGACCCAGGAGCTGGACAGGATCAGGGATGAGGCACTGAATAGGAAGTCTGAGGAGCAACTCCGAGAAGAGTTCGCCGATGACGTGCTCCCTGCTCTTGAGAAAACAGCAAGGAGTTCTTCAAGAGGGGGTGGGACGAGGCGCTCCAGTCTGCTGGAATTCCGTCAGACTCTCCGCTCTTCCAGATGCACAAGTACGTGCCCTCGGCGGAGATGGAACGGGCCGAAGCAGAGATTGCTACCGAGGGCGAGATTCCAACGCCGGTGCAAGTTTCGGTGGATCTGCCTGAGGCGGTAATAGTGGATTTGTCTGATGAGGCCCTGCCGGACCGGGACCCGGACCATAATATTCCTCAGGATCCTTTTGTCGCCGAAGTACCTCCCGCTCCGCCTGCTCCCGAAGCTGCTCAACCTTTCTACGCCGATTCGCCATCGGCGGATGTTTCGGAGATGCCCGGGGCAAGATGGAAGCCCCCCTCTCTTTTTTTTTTTTGATCTGTACTTTTTCCCTTGTAGCTTTTG